ACTTGCTGGTGTTGAATTTCATTTGCCATTTTTCAGACCACCCCTGCAGTTTATTTAGATCCTCCTGTAGTGCATTTGCATCCTGCCCTGAATTAATCTGCCGCCCTATTTTGGTGTCATCCTCAAACTTTCTTATGTCACTGCTGATCCCAGTATCTAGATCGTTTATGTAGATTATGAACAAGAGTGGTCCTAGTACTGACCCCTGGGGAACCCCACTGGTTACACGGCCCACTCAGATTTAACACCATCTAAGCTGACCCTCTGCGTTCTATCGGTGAGCCATGATTTTATCCAATTTAAAACTTTCCCCTCGATACCATGAGCCTTAATTTTTCTCAGAAGCCTCTGATGCGGTACTCTGTCAAATGCTTTGCTAAAGTCTAAGTAAATAACATGGTAATTTTCGTCATTATCTACTACCTCGAAGACTTTCCTAAAAACGTCAGCAGATTTGTTAGACAAGATTTTCCCTTTGTAAACCCATGTTGAGAGTCGTAGATTAATTTGCTTTTCTCTAAATGCGATCGGATGCTATCTGCTATAATTGATTCAAGAAATTTCCCCACTACTGACGTCAAACTGATCGGCCGGTAATTTGACGCTGATGCTCTGTCTCCCTTTTTGAATATGGGTACTACATTTGCCTGTTTCCACAAGTCTGGCACAACTCCCGTGTCTAATGATTTTGTAAATAAATTTACAAGGGGTCTGTTAATCTGTTCCCTACATTCTTTCAAGACTCGAGGGAAAATTTCATCCGGCCCTGGGGATTTTGTCTTCTTTAATTTATTTATCCTCGTAAAAACATCCTCTTCTCTGATAATGATATTCTTTGATTTCTCTTCCTCCTTTTCCCTAAATATCAGTTCCACGTCTGGAATTTCCTCGCGAATTTCTTCTGTGAAAACTTTGCTTATTTCTTCACTGCCATCGATCACTTCCCCCCGCCCTGACTTTAAAGGCCCAACTTTGTCCTTGACCTTTGTTCTATATACCTGAAAAATCCCTTGGGATTCGCCTTGGATTCTCTTGCTATTCTGATTTCATAGTATCTCTTTGCTTTCCTTACATTTTTCTTAACATTCCTAGATAGTTCATTATACCTATTTCTGAGCTGCTCCTCCCCTCCCTTTAATGTCCTATAAATTCCTTTCCTTATTCCTATGTCATGTTTAAGTTTTCTTGTCATCCACCTTGGCTCATTCTTATTTGACCTAATTTTTCTGTATGGTACATTTTGTTCTTGTGCTTTACATAGTATACGAGTGAATATATTATAGTCATGATCAATTGTGGTGTCACATGTGACCTAACCTGTTCCTACTGGGGACTGACCTGACTGTTCCCAGGTGACCTCACCGAGGTACCTTCTTAACCCCTGATAATCCGCCAACCGAAAGTTTGGGACTCTGACCATATTGTCATTGTTTTTCGTTTCCCAATTTAGGGTGAACCTGATTTCTCTGTGATCACTGTTACCTAGTTCTTCCCCTACTGTGATATCTCTGATAATATTTTCTTTATTTGTTAATACTAAGTCTAATATATTGTCACCTCTCGTAGGTTCTGTAATTAGTTGTTTAAAAGAATTGTCCTGTACTGCATCTAGGAAGTCTTCAGATTCATAGTCACCTACAATGTTGTCCCAGTCAAAATTTCTGAAGTTGAAATCCCCCATAATGCACAGGTTGTTATATTTTGCTGCCCTACTCATTTCCTGCCATATGGGCTGAGCTGCTTCTTTCCCAAGACTTGAGGGCCTGTAAATCACTCCCATAATTAGTTTTTTTTCTTTCTTCCGTGATTTCTACCCATGCAGACTCGGTTCCTATTTCACCCTTTATTGAATTATTAATACAACATTTTAACGTATCCTTGACGAAGAGTGCGACCCCTCCCCCCTTCCTACCTTCCCTGTCCTTGTGAAAAAGGTTGTACCCTTCTATGTGGTACTCTGATAAAAAAATTTTGCTCGCCAGATTCATCCAAGTTTCAGTGATTGCTATGACGTCTACATTCTCGGTACATACAACCGCTCTCAGCAAGTCTATTTTATTTCTAACGCTCCTACTGTTTGTATAGTATACATTTAAACCTACCCTTCCCTGGTCCTGTTTTACCCCTTGTCCTTAGTAACCAATTTTACTTCCCAGGACCTGCTTGTTTTTTGACTCCCACAATGTTTTTCCAGTCGGCAATTTATAGCAATTGCCCTGGACAGCCATTCACGACCAACCCCTCTTCTAGGCAAGACACCACATACTATCGGGATCCCTCCCCTATCTCTAATCTTCCCTAGCGCCTCCCTATACCTCTTGAAAAGTTCCTTACTCCTAACCTTTCCTCTGTCGTTTCCTCCCACACTAAGACACACTACTGGATTGGTACCCTCCCCTGAAAAAACCCTATCTATCCTCTCAGCTACATGCCCTATCCCAGCCCCAGGAAAATACACCCTAGTCCTACGTTTCATATCTCTTGCGCAAAAAGTCCTATCTAATAACCTCACCTGGCTGTCCCCAACTACCATGACTTTACCACTGGGCAGGGTTTGTACAACTGCCCTTTCCTCCCCTGGCACCACACCGTCTTGCATCTTCTCTTCCTCGTCCTTCCTCTTCTCTTCCCCGCCAGCTTCTTCCAACACCTGGTAAGGGTTACTGCACTCCACACCATGGTCAGCTTTCCTGAGCCTGACCCTAGTCCCCTTAGAGACAACCACTCTTCACGCCTGCTCCTCCTTCGCAGGTGTCCTGCTAGGCAGGACACCTACCTGAAGGAGTTCAGTCCTGAGGGCTTCGTTCTTCCCCTTTAGAGCGTCCATCTCTCTCCTCAACTGCTCCAACTGACTTAACAGAGTGGCCAGGAGGTCGTCTTTCCTCACACTCAGCTCTTCTTCCCCCACAACACAACGATCCAAGGCGGCCATTTCCTCTGGTCACTAACGCGAGCACTTAGGGGCACGTCCTTCTCCAAGCTAGGTCAGGTAGCAACTGAACTAGGTCAGAGAAAGAGTGAGTAAATAAAGAAGGAAAATAGTTATATTACACAAGTAAACGTTTCCCAAAACATTAGGTAACACACAGCCTCCAACTGTCCCAAGTTTCATAACTGAATGATCCAACTCTCATGGAGCATTGCAATTCTGTTTGGGTTTCGAGGTGTTCCAACGACGTCACCCACGCGTAACTTACCATGATGGATTAGAACGTTTATAATAGTATAGTTTATATTACAGAATATTTATAAGCACTTCAAAGGACATTACTCTACCATGTTTATATGTGGATTCAGTTTATGTCCGTCCCTGTAGACTCCACAACTTGACTCTAGATTACTTGATGACACTAAAATAGGGCGTGTAATTAAATCTGACGAGGACTCCGCAAAACTACAGGAAGATCTAAACAAATTTTTCAAATGGTCTGAAAAATGGCAGATGAAATTCAATGTGGACAAATGTAAAGTACTCAGTATAGGAGATGTAAACAGGGAAACCCAGATACCAGATGAACAACGATGTTATTGAGAATCCGACTGCGAGAAAGATTTAGGAGTAATGATAAATAGGAATCTTAAGCCAAGTAAACAATGTGTATTTGCTCGAAACAAGGCTAATAAAGTATTTGGGTTCATACAAAGGAGTGTTAGTTACAAGACTAGCGAGGTCATCTTAAAACTATATCTTGTGCTTGTGAGACCTTACTTGGATTACGCAGTTCAATTCTGGTCACCGTATTACAGAATGGATATAGAAACCTTGGAAAGAGTTCAGAGGCGAATGACAAGGCTAATCCCGGGTATAAGGAACCTTGAGTACAGAAACAGGTTAAAGCATCTTAATTTGCACTCCCCCCGAGAGACGTAGAGTGAGGGGCGACATGATAGAGTACATGGAAGTCAAGGTTGAACAAAGGAGACATTACAAAGGTACTCAAATTATCCAACCAGGAGTGAACTCGTAACAATGGTTTTAAATTAGACAAATTTAGATTTAGGCGCGAAATAGGTAAACATTGGTTTGGAAATAGAGTAGTGGACGAGTGGAACAAGTTTCCAAATATCATCATTAACTCGAATACGCTGGATAGCTTCAAACATAGGTTGGATGGAAATATGAGCAAAAGGGGTTGGGTGTAAATGGAACTGCCCAGTATGGGCCAATAGGCCCGCTGCAGTTTCCCCAATTCTTATGTTCATATGTACTGGGACATGGTCTGACCATTATATGTGGGCCACAACCACGAGGATCAGTTATGTGGGCCACTAGCATGAGGGAGGATCAGTTATATATAGCTATAGGACACATGTGGTTACTTGACTGCTTAACCTCCCGGTCAGGACACTGATAGTCATTTGTTTTTATTGGACACTTCCCGTTACCTTGGCATTATTATTATTTCTTACAATTGTTACAAATGTATTAAGGTTGATTTTGGGACTTGATCCAACAGTTATTATTTCTGGAAATACTATACAGGTGATGTGATGACAGGTTCAGGCTCGAGGTGTTATAAACGTATGTTAGGTGAGAAACAGCCGACTGTGTCTGGAAGCTATTACAAATATATAGCTATTGAGAGATATAGTGACTGTTACACAGAGATCTTTCTCATCTTTGATTAGAACTGAGTAAATGTAATCATGCTTGGTGACACACAGACAATGGGATCAATACGTACAGGTAAAAACAACAGGTTATTGTCCCCGGTGTACTAGTTGATTAGTTAATTTATTAATGCCATAACATTGTCGTAAAACTGTAGAAGGAACCCGTAGCGTTATGGTTGTTGCACCTGTTAATAAAGGTTTTAGGGAGTAGTGTCCTGGCAAGGTATTATTCCCCAGCCTGGACACATGTCTGGATACATGCCTGGGCAAAACCAGACAGGTTTTGTTGTTACCTTATCGGCTGATCTACAACTACCAGCCATAACATTGATTTCATGATACAATGCCGCTCATAATATGTGTTAGTGGAATTGAAACTTTTGAACTGAAGGCAACAACTTTATTGCAAGATAAACTCCTCTAATGAACAGCGAATATTACAAACTTGAAGAGCACCACCAATACATAATAACAGCAATAATAACACAAGTGTAATATTTGGTGGTACTCAAGTGGATCACGTTCCAGTTACAAGTTCCATTTTGAGACAACTGCATTACTGGGTGGGGAGGAACGTCTGGCTGCTGAGTGCTCGTATTGGCGTTGTTTATATGATAATTGTTTTAGGTGTGACGCCGAGATGGGCAGCGGGTGGAACAGTCGGTGTGATCTTGTGCAAGGCGTTAATGGGGACGTGAAGCCTTGCAGGTGTGGTGTTTCAGACAGGCGTCATAGCAGCATTTTTCATGGTAGAGACAATAGTCATCATGACCGCATCTCTGTTCAGGTGTGAGAAAGATACATTAGAATATTGTAATAATAACTCTTTTACTTACTGAACAGAAAGAAAATATTCGTGATAATCTTCACATTTTATATAAAACAACAAGACAGCTTAGTTTAATTGGTTCTTTTTTGTACAAAGAAATTTGGCGCCTTTTGGGGTTTATTATTAAGAAAACTTCGATTACCCAACCTTAATATAATTAGTGACTTATAGAAAAGCATCATAAATAATGAAATAAAAGTAATAGTAAACTTACGATAGGATCGAACGGTGCGAATGTGCAGACGGTATAGGCTGCACATTGCCTGGATGGGTTGCTAAAGAAAAAAATGAAAGGTTATTAATCTCTGCTCTAAATAAGTATATATAAAAAAAAATATATGTTATTCATCAAGTTATATATTAACATGTACCAATGTATAAAAACCATTAGTTAACACTGACCTAGACTTGTATTTTCGACAAATTTATGGTTTGAATTAATGCAGCAGTAGAGGGCACCAGCGTTGACAGCGGCTGGGTAATTGCACCAGAAGACACAGCTGGGAGTGCTAGGATGGTCGATGCTAGAGCCAAGAGCCACCGTCACGACGGTCATTACTACCAACAGGCGCAGCTGTGGGTACACCTTACATTAACTCAAGTACCATCACAGTACACGAAATATACATTATAACTTAATATACAGGACACAAGTACAACAAACCAAATGACAAACATCGTGTTGTCACTGACCATTATGGATGGCAGGAGGCGTTGGAGGAGCAGTGTAGACTACGAGGTTGTCAGGCCAAGTGTGACTCCTTGGTTTTTTCCAAGTTTAGAAGCTCCTGGGTTGTTGTTGTTGAGATTGTCAGCTCCTGGGTCTTCTCATCCCCTTATATATGCGGCAGGTTCTCCTGCGCAGCTCTCTGATTGGCTGTCTTCGGATGTGTGCGTGTGTGTGTGTGTGTGCGTGCGTGTGTGTGCGTGCGTGCGTGTGTTATTTTCTTGGTTTGTGGTTTATTCGTTGCAACATTAGATAATAGAGATGTAATGGGCCCCTGTCTCATCAACAGAACATATTATATAAATGGGTCAATACATCTGATCTTATATTCAGATTCACCACTCTGTAACTTTCCACTGTCTATGAGTGAGACATGAGTTGAACACGTGAACGGTAGCTTTCCCAAGAGGGACAAGCCCATATGTCAGCATCTATGTAAGTACGCACCAGGGGCGACGCTCCTAGCTCAGTCACTCACACCATCTAATATCGAACGGACGTGATCTACGTTTATATTTACATAAACGCCGTCCTCTTCTTCGTTCACTCATAAATAGTGGAACTTACAGTTGATCTACACTCAGGAATTATAGACATAATCCATTTATAATAAAACAAGGAACTTCAATTGGGTTTCGTTACTAAAACCCCAATATCTAATATATGTGAACAACTCGGTTAATTGGGGGATTAACCTACGGATTCATATATGCTCCATCAGGCTTCATATAATGCAAATTGATACATTTACCTTTATTTACCCTGATGGTCACCCACCCAAACTAGAGGTGGCCAGGCCGAGGGAGGGTGGCCAGTGGGTTTCGAGACAAAACGGCACCCTCCTGTGACCAAAACGGCCCCAATCTAAAAAACCCAAACCAGAATGGCCCCACTCTAACCACAACGGCCCCACCCTGTCAAAGCCCTGTGACAAACTGCCCCATCTCAAAACGGCCCCACCTCAGATTCAAAAGCCCCACCCTGTGACCAAACCGGCCTCACTCTAACCACACGGCTCACCCTGTGATCAAAACGTCTCACTCCCAAAAGGGCCCCACCCTGATCAAACGGCCTCACCCCATGGGACCTCAAACGTCCCACCTCAACCAAAACGGCCCCACCTCAGATTGGTCGGCCTCATCTCAGGCACCCTGTGATCAAAACGTCTCACCTGTGGTCACAAAACGTCTTCCCAGGAACAACAGTTCACTGTAATTAACGAGTTTCTCAGTCACACCTCACATAACGGCTCACTCAGACAATGCCTCACCCCAGAAACATCGGTCTTCACTTTTAACCAATGTTCACTCTATTCAAAACATGACTCATTTCGATTAAAACGGCTCTTCCCTGAGACCAAAACGGCCTAACTTAATCCAAACCCAACCAAACCAAAACTAAACGAAACTAATTCAAACCAGAAGTTGCAACTGTTGTTTGGTCCAATGTTTACATCGTTTACATTTGACAGTTGCCACTTGTTGTTAGGTTAGAGTTAGCCATTTGGTCACAGGTGGGGCCATTTTGGTCACAGGGTGGGGGTGTTTTTGGTCACAGGTGGGTGTTTTGGTCACAGGGTGGGGGCGTTTGGTCACAGGGTGGGGCCGTTGGTCACAGGGTGGGGCGTTTTGCACCAGGGTGGGGCCGTTTTGGTCACAGGGTGGGGCTGTTTTGATCACAGTGGGTGCCGGTTACAGGGGTGTTTTGGTCACAGGTGGGGGCTGTTTTGATCACAGGGTGGGGCCGTTGTGGTTACAGTGGGGGCTGTTTTGATCACAGGGTGGGGTCTGTTGTGGTTAGGGGTGATGTTTTTCACAGGTGATGTTTTGATCACAGGTGGAGCTGTTGGGAAGGAGGGGCTGTTTGGTCACAGGGTGGGGCTGTTTTGATCACAGGGGGCTGTTGTTAGAGGCTGTTTGGTCACAGGGTGGGGCTGTTTTGATCACAGGGTGGAGCCGTTGTATGGAGGGGGCTGTTTTGGTCACAGGTGGGGCTGTTTTGATCACAGGTTCAGGGCTGTTTTGGTCACAGGGTGGGGGCCGTTGTGTGAGGTGGGGCCTGGTCACAGGGTGGGGCTGTTTTGGTCACAGGGTGGGGCCGTTGTGGTTACAGTGGGGCTGTTTTGGTCACAGGGTGGGGCCGTTGTGGTTAGAGTGGCCGTTCTGGTTTGGGCCATTTTCTCTGCTACTCGGCCAGTGGGCCATACATTGTTCTTGAAACCATTTTAAAGCCCAGTACTGTTTTTGCTTCCACAGCTTCAGGAAGAGAGAGAGAGAGAGAGAGAGAGAGAGAGAGAGAGGGAAAGAAGATGGTAGTTACAGTAAGAGAGAGAATCAAACACAGCACCAAACATAAGAGAATAAACGAGTTTGAGACAAAACGGTTCATTCGAAAACGGCCCAATTACCTGTTCATTTCTAGACCCATTGTGTGATTAGCCGGTCTAAACTCAAACCAAAACTGAGCATGATAGCTGCCATGTAACTAACCAGAAGTACCACTTCTGGTTAGTAACCCAGCCAACTCAGACTCAACATGGCTGCTATCATGCTCAGTATTGGTTAGGTTAGAGAGTTAGACCGTTTTGGTCACAGGTGGGGCCGTTTTGGTCACAGGGTGGGGCTGCTAGGTACAGTGGGGCCGTTTTGGTCACAGGGAGGGGGGCCGTTTTGGTCACAAGGGTGGGGCTCGTTTTGGTCATGAGGGGCTGTTTTGTCACAGGGTGGGGCCGTTGTGGTTACAGGGGGCCGTTTTGTCACAGGGTGGCTGTGGTTACAGTGGGGGCTGTTTTGTCACAGGGTGGGGCTGTTTGGTCACAGGGTGGGGCTGTTTTGGTCACAGGGTGGGGCTGTTTTGGTCACAGGGTGGGGCTGTTTGGTCACAGGGTGGGGGCTGTTTTGGTCACAGGGTGGGGCTGTTTTGGTCACAGGGTGGGGCCGTTTTGGTCACAGGGTGGGGCCGTTTTGGTCACAGGTGGGGCTGTTTTGGTCACAGGGTTTTGGTACAGGGTGGGGCTGTTTTCAGGTGGGGCTGTTGGTCACAGGGTGGGGCTGTTTTGGTCACAGGGTGGGGCTGTTTTGGTCACAGGGTGAGCCGTTTTGGTCACAGGGTGGGGCCGTTTTGGTCACAGGTGGGGCTGTTTTGGCCAGTGGGTGGGGCTGTTTTGGTCACAGGTGGAGCGTTTTGGTCACAGGGTGGGGCTGTTTGGTCACATTGGGGCCGTTTTGGTCACAGGGTGGGGCCGTTTTGGTCACCTCATAAATCATCAGTAATCCGAACCTCAAAGGCATTCACTCACTAATTTTATATAAATGTTTCTGGCAAATTTGTGAGTGAACTGTGAAGATACGATTTGGTTTATTCTGTTTTTGTTTTTGTTTGTTTGTTTGTTGTTGTTGGTTGTGGTGTTTTTGTTTGTTTTATTATTTTATTATTATTATTATTATTATTATTATTATTATTATTATTATTATTATTATTATTATTATTATTATTATTATTATTATTTACATAAAAACAATTCCGGGACGTGGTTGAGTGTGTGAGATACGAACCCACATCCCCAAAAGTACCAGATATTTGTACGTACAACTACACCACGGTCAAACCTAAGGTATAATTACGAACAGACACAGTACGTATTATATATTATTTAATAATTTACATATTACAAGAACACACCTATAATTGACAGAAATTTACTCCACTATAACTACAAATCCATTTTTTTTGTAATTTTTTTAAACTTTAGTGAAAATAAGACAGTGAAAATACGTCTGAAAGAGAATAAAGGAGATGAATAAAAGAGACGAGAGTTTATAATGTTCAATAATAACTCATGGTTGTGATCGTCTGGATGTTTGAGGATTATAAGTTATCTTTTTTACGGATATTTTGATGACTAGTAAAAAAAATAATTGTTGTTGATTGATGTAAATTAGTTTGTAAATGAGCCATTATTCTCTCGGCTTTTATTTCTCTTTTGTTTTCATTCTTTCTTTATTCTTCTTCTTTCTTCTTCTTTTTCGTTTCCTTTATTTTTTTTCTTGGTCTGTTCCTTCCCTCCCCATTCTTCACTTCCCCTTCTTTTTTCCCCTTTCTTCCTTCCTTCCTCTCTTTTTCGTTTTCCTTTTCCCCTCTTTATCTTTCGCTTCCCTTCTTTCTCTTTCTTCCTCTCCTTCCCTCCTCCATCCCCCTTTTCACCCCTTTCCCCTTCCCTCCCCCCTCTATGAGACAAGGGGCAGAACAACCTGGTAACCAGGATAAAGCCTGGGCAGGATAGACGCTGGGGCAGGATAGACACCGGAACAGGATAGACACTGGGTAGGATAGACACTGGGTAGGATAGACGCTAGGGCAGGATAGACGCTTAGGCAGGATAGACACTGGGGCAGGATGGAGCAGGATAGACAGAAGGAAAAATATCAGAAATGTGTGCAGATAGAGAGCGGTGCTGTACAGGTGTCCACGGTTGATTGGTGTTATATAATTTCATGTATAGCACACAGCCGGAGGGAGGGAGGGGAGGGAGAAAGAGTGAGGGAGAGAGAGAGAGTGAAGGACACACACACACACACACATAATGACCCCTTCAATTTCATCGATCCTAAACAGCAAACAACATGGCTGGTCTTCATTAATAAATAATTAATATAACCTTATCAACCACCTATGTTATGTTGTGTGTGGTTAGGTTGTCCTCAAATGTATAGAAAAAACCTTCGAACATTCCATCAGTCATGTCAGTAAAGAAGTGTTTAAGAATAACTAAATATAATCAATAAATATCTGATCTTAACCACTGTAGAAGGTCTGTCTTTGAGTGGATATAAGTCTATGGTCTTGGCCAATCATATTTCACTTACTCTTCTGTGACCTCTGACCTTTGACCTTTATTGGGTGAGTAGAATGTAACTAGATATATCTACTTAAAGTAGAAGGCAGGAAAATATACTATAGACAGACAGACAGACAGAAATAGACACAGGCAGACAGAGATAGAGACAAAGACAGAGACACACTGACAGAAATAGACAGAGATAGATATAGAGATAGAGACAGAAGCATACAGACAAACAGACAAACAGACAGACAGCTAGATAGATATACAGACACACAAACAGATAGACAGACAGACA